TATGAGCGACTCATTGATTCATTAACTTAACCGAATTGCTTACAAACTCTGATTCATTCATGACTGTGTGTTACTCCAAGACACACAACAAGAAACAGACCAATTAAATAGCAATATTGTGTCTAAAATATACAGTAGGCCTAAGTTACTCAATGTAAACGTCTTGTTTACTGAACTGTTTCTATAATATTGTTTGAGATTCATAGAAATAGATACTATTTTATAGATGTTTTAATATGTGGAATATTTTCTTCCATGTGCTGTTGTACAGGCGCTGTCAGTGTCACTCCAGGGTTTTCTGAACAGTATTGTGTACGCATGGAGACGACGCAATTTCAGAGACGCCGTGCTTGGGGAACGTCTGCCTCTCATGGCCTACTCTAACAGAGCCTTCTTTGACCAATCATTAAATGAGCCATCATGAAATCACAGTATGAAATCATGTACATGTGTGTATAAAATATGTTTTCTTTTACAAAAATGTTTACTTAAATGATTTCTATTTATTTTATATATATATTTGTGATAACCAATGATAGGAAATGCTATATATTTTGCTGTCTGCAGAACAGAAGTTTACTTGAAATGTATAAACCAATAGTGGAGTCTCAAAGACAAATTATTAGTTGATTATTTTCACCTTACTTACAAGAGTGATATTATATGGAAACTGTATATTTGATATATCAGATGTTCAACTTCAGTTTTGTTCAATAAATGTCTATGTATAGCCATGAGCCAGTACTTCTAGTTCTTGACTGAACGATTTTGCTAGATTCTCTATTACCTAACAATGACAAAGCAAAGTATGCCACAGGGCCGCGGTAGTAAAATGTTTCCTGTGTGATCTCATAAAGATTTTCATTACAGAACAGTCAAAAATGTGCAAAACAGAATGATCATGTCACATGTCACATGAGTCGACAACATGCATTTTCCTTTGGTTCAGGTTGCACACAATCAGATTATCCAAAACGGAAAGAATAATTAGTGTAATTGACCAAGATATACTTTAGTTTGAGGTAGATTATCCTATATTTATTGTGTTTATTGCTGTATAAATTGGCCATAATATTGTGACACGTCAAAAAAACAGGATCATGTGGTATATTACATAATTAATAATGTTATATAATTAAGGTTGAATGATTGCTTCATAAAAATGCCATCAGTCAATATAACAGACAAGGAAAATGCATTTTTACACTGCGCTTAACCCCGAGTAATCGTCAAGGATTCTGTTTAGAATTCATTTAGAATTCGGTTTAGAAAAAAACACTTTTTGGTAGACTAAACTGTGGCACTGAGCACAGCAGTCCAGCTCTGGAAGTAAAATTCATATTTATTTTTGCCATATGGAAAATATTTTGTTCGATTCATTTGTTTGGATAATTAATTTAGTCAAAAAACAAACAAACAGATTTTCCTAATAAATGAATGGAAAGGTACTCAGAGAGCCAAAGCCCCTCATTTAGATGATATTTACATAGTTAAGGATTTAAATAGGATTCTATTTAAGGAGATTCTATTTAAAATTCAATTTTCTGTTTGGCAGCCATGCTTAGTAATAAATACGTAAAACTTTAATGTTTATTGAGATCAAAATCCAGTTTTAACACTACACGCCTTTGAGCGAGGCATTTGGCTTTGATTTCTTTCAGGTTCAGTATCTTGTTTAAAAGAATTGCACCTAAATAACAAATTACAGTTTCAGTGATCACAAAAACTAGTATGCACATAAAGTATATTACATGGGATCAGCGCTGGGATATTCCTTCAATAACCCCCTGATTTAACACTGAAACTGACCTCATTTCACAGCATTTGTCTGTGTTATTAATAGACCTGATTTCTAGATTTGATCAAGCAATATGCTCAAATGAGGAAAGCATAGCATTTTAACTGTAGCACTTTATGATTTATTAATTCACAGCAGCAGGTTCATCTAATCAGTAAACGCAAACTAATGCCTTTGAGTAAAGCATTAAACTTCAGATGCCTGTTCCTGTAATAAATACTGGACAAAAGCATCTGTTAATGATCACTTCTTAACATAAACATAGTCGTTTTTACAGTCTAAAGACAATAAATCTATGCATTAAGGGTCTCATATGGTATGTTTATTGTGTCAATCCTGTCATTCTGACCTATATATGCTACCATAACAAAAACAGTAAAAATGTGCATGTGTAACACAGGGCTCAGTGAGGCATTAAGAAAACAAATGCAGATTTACTGAATAAAAAAAAAAAATCCACATGACAATCTATAAAGTGTCACATGACAAACCATGAATGGTCAAGAAGACACAAACATGAGGGTTTCATGGATGAGAACTTCAGATTAAAAGTACATGAACAAAATCAAAGAACATGGAAAAATGGCACAAAACATCTGAAATATGTTAGAGAGAACCAGAGGAGGGGAAAAGGGCATGAAATCTCTGTACAGTTTGGATCATGGCATAAAGGTTGTCTACAGTCATAATATGGTCATAAAAATGTCCTTTGGCTGCACAGTGATGAATCCATAAATCCATAAATGTGGGGGACGTTTTCATGTGCATTTGGGAAAAAGAAACAAAAAAAATCTTTGAAGAAATTGCTATTAAATCTCAGTTATTTGGTTACATATTTACTGTATGTTTCTTTTATTATTAAAAATAGGCATTTTACATTACATATCACAATAATAAAAGAATGAATGTCTAAGGGCTGTTGTTTTATGTGAAGAACTTCGTACTAAAATGAAAAATGACAGAAACGGTAATGTTCAAACTGCAAGTTTGCATATATTTTAAAATAATCATTTTAAAAAATATATAAAATTAAACATTAGGGAATAAAAGTACTAGAGCATGTGCCATATTGTGAATATATTCGATATAAACATGCAAATAAATATCACAATATAGCATGACCTTGAGTTCCTTGTTGCTGTATTAAGAAGAGTTTTTTTTAATTAAAAATGTCAGTGATATAAATATTTTCATTATTTTTTGTATACCTTAAAATCAATGAATGGCCTTTCAAGGCAGTGTTATTTTAGTATCACTGAGCTACCATTATAGTTTTTTAAAAGAGATTTTGAATTAGTTTTTATTTTTTAATATAATGTCTTCATTGTAAGTTTAGTTAGAATTTTTAATTAAGTTTGTTATGCTTTTTTGTCAGTTTTATTACAGTTCATTTTTTAAATATATATATATATTTTTATCATTTTATTTCAGTTATAGTTTTAATTATTTTAGTACAAATTGAAATAAATGAAAATAAGAAAAGTTGCTTTGGCAATTAGCTGAAATAAAATAAATATAAGTAATTTTTTTTTTTTTAGGGTTTTATTTCAGTTTAAAAAAAATTTTATTTTTTGTTTGTTTCAATGGCAGTGGTTTTCATTTACTGTAATATCCCTGATTCAAGGGGTGGACAATGAAAGAATAATAGTGAAATAGTTTTTTGTTGAAACAAGATGTTTATTTCCACAGAATGGTGTTGACATGACAGTCCTCTCAGTAATCCCCATGTAGGCTACGTCATAAACAACACTTTAGAAATGACTGACTCTCCTCAATAAACCTCACTGGAAACACAACCACAACATCAAACATCACAGCACACTCCAAAATAAGTCAGATTAGATTGGTTCAAAGAAAAGGGGAAAAGAAAGCAAAACTGAATAAACACAGGCACAATCCACAGCGCTTCCTCCCACCTCTCATATAAACGGTCTACTAAAGAAATCTTCTGCAGGCCTTCTAACAACTTGTACTTCACCAAGAACAATTTCTGATGATTTTTCAGTGGTTTTATCTCTAGAACTCAATATATATACACTATCATTAAAGGGGTCATATGATGTTGCTAAAAAGAACATTATTTTGTGTATTTGGTGTAATGAAATGTGTTTATGCGGTTTAAAGTTCAAAAAACACATTATTTTCCACATACTGTACATGATTGTTTCTCCTCTATGCCCCGGGGGCCTTTCTGAAACGCGTCGATTTTTACAAAGCTCATCAGTCTGAAAAGCGAGGTGTGCTGTGATTGGCCAGCTATTCAGTGCGTTGTGATTGGCCGAATACCTCAAGCGTGTGACGGAAATGTTACGCCCCTCACCATATTGTGATGCCGTGTCCCGGCCGGAGCAATGATTCAAAAACATGAAAACCCATTACAAACGAGGCATTTGTTGCATCCAGTGGGGACATAATTACTGATTATAATGACTTATACTGTCTTTTTACATGTTGCGTTGCATCGCGCCGCGTAAACATAAAACCATGTCTGCATTTGTGATCAGAGAAATGACAAACAACAAGTGCTACTCTACACTGCTCAAAACTCGCGTTTGAATCGTCAGTGGCAAATCCTTTAAATATGAAAGCATACTTACAGTCTGTGAGTCAGCATTGTCAGCATCATAGACTGTATAGGGTCAGCATGTGCGCCGAAGGAGAAACAGGGGAACTGAATTCACCGGAACACCGGCATTGTAGGCTACTCTCCCAGACGAATCTTAACTTTTATAAAGAATATCTTTATGGGTTTGAGACTTTAGTCTTTGCAACTTTAGGGATCTTATCTATTCACGAACAGCTTGTAACACTCCAAAGAGAAAGGAAAACTTGAAATCGCATCATATGATCCCTTTAAATTAAATTAAATAATTAAATCATTAGATTAAATTAAATTATAAAATTGATCAAAAGTGACAGTAAAGATATATATAATGTTATAAAATATTTATATTTCAAATAAATCTTATTTTAAACTTTAGATTCATTAAAGAACAATGAAAGATATATCAGGTTTGATGCTGAAAATTCAGCTTTGCGTCACAGGAATAAATTACATTTTAAAATATATTCAAATAGAAAACAGTTATTTTACTGTACCCCAAACATTTGAATGGTAGTGAATTTGAATGGTAGCTATCAAAATGAATTCATTAGTAACAAAATCTTCTCATGGTGACACAAAGACCTGCAAAAAAAAAATATGGACTAATGGCTAAGGAATCATGAGAAAAAAATGTAATAAGCAAAAAATAATCCAAAATACCATCTCATGACCAGTAAGAGATATTTACCACCAATTCACCCACCACTGGCAGGTGTGATAAAAGTCCTGACCTACATCTCTATTTTATATAATATGGTTTTGAGAAATGAGAATAACACCAATAAAAAATACTGGACTTGGCTTGAAATCAAGTATAGGAAGGGCAAAGGAGGTACTGAGAATGATAAGAAAAACGTTGAAATAAAATAGCAAAAAAAAAAAGGTGTGGGCAAATGTGAACATTTACAGCTATGAATTATATTATTAAATTTTTTCACATGACTTCCGCTCCTCTCAGAAGTCCATAGAGAGGGAGCGCTGTTGGACAGGGTTGGCATGGTTACGTACCATCACGATGTTGCGTCCACGGGTGATAAAATCATTGTAGGTGATCTCCTCCATCACCTGTCCCTCCAACCCCAGCTCCTCATCGTCCAGTGCCTCTCGCAGACTCTGCGCACTGTAAGCGTGAGCGCGTGGGTCGTGCGTGAAAGGGTGCGAGTGTGAGCTGCTCCTGCGTCCGTGGAAACTGCCCCAGCCTCTGGCCCCAACAACCGTACTCATCTCATCAGACGCCTGCAAGAGACGATGCACTCTGCTTGCCATGACAATGGAGGCAGCGCTGCTCGGAGCACCACAGTGATGCTTGTGGACGCAACGGGACACGCTGGAGGAGCGGCGGAGTTTCTGCAGACTCTCCAGCTCCTCCGACAGCTCCTCCGGCAGCTCCGCTTCCTGCATGGAGAACAGCTCGTACTGAGGAGGCTCCAGCACCTCCTGCATCTCTGCAGCGCTGAGCAAACCTTTACGGCTCAAAACCTGCAGCAGATAAATCCACATTAGCAATGTCGCCTGCTGAGTTGATTCATGCAAAATGTTCATGCATCAAACAAATATAAAGAGATTTAATGCTTAAAGTCAGTGTAAATTGACATTCACAACCCATTTTACTTTGGTAAATTTTATCTATTTCTGAGTGACAATATATTCAATGAGAAAAAAAATGTATAAATATATGATTTAGATTTCAAGAGGGATTTGTGTCATCTAAAAAGGAAAGTAGTTTCAGAGATGGAGAATTCAGTTTTGATAAAAGATTGCAAAAAAACATGCTTGTAAAAATGTTGAATAAAGTGCTCATTGAGCATGCACAATATGAGTGGGTCTGTGCATTAAATATGTAAACTAGGCATATTGTAATTATTCTTTAATTATTCATTTTAATTAACGGCTTTTTTTCATTATTATGCATACTGCTTAGTTTTGGCAAGAATCATAATCATGATTATTTTGGTCAGTATTGAGATCATGACTATATACCAAAATGACTCATTATATATTTATAATGAGTCATTATACAGTTTATTTATCTAATTTTTAATTTCATGTGTTTTTCAGTTAAATTACACTTTATATATAATCGCCCAGGCTTACAGAATTATGTTTTTTTTTTTTTTTTGGAATAACATTTACTGATGCATCATTTACAATTAGTCCAGGAACATGTACTTAAAAAGTCAATGGTCGGTTTAATTACTTATTATAATATGTTGACATTATTTATCAAACTAGTGAAATCCTTTCAAACTGCAAAAATATTGGTTTTCCGAAAACTTGCCCTTGCCATTGGTCAAACAAACAGCCCAAAGTCAATATTGCTGTGTCAGGAAGCTCAAATAGACGAATGCACTAGTAATGTTTTGATAGCGCCACAGTGTTTACATTTTTCAGGGAAATCAACCTACAAAAGGTTTATGTATATTTGTAGCTGATGGATAAAGAAAACAGAACATTTTTAACATAGAAAAGTATATAATCTTTAGGTGTATTTCTGACCCCTGTGGGAGGCTGTTAATGTCTCATCCTAAATGGTTATTTCTCTATATAAATAGAAACCTTTTTTCTTGGCTGCTTCATCTGTATAAATACAGATATGATGAGAAGAAGCAAGACCACACCAGACGCCACTCCAATCACAGTGCTATGAGTTTTACTCATCTGTTGGAAGAAACTTTTAGACTTCTTTTCTGTGAGACACAAGGACAACAAAGACAAAAGAAAGCAGAGTAAGAAAAATGAATATTTCTCCAACTAAATGAGAACAATGACAATAAAACTGAATTTATGAGTACGTATTACTGCTTTACATAACCAGGGTTCATAGCATTTCTGTACGCCATAATAACCTATGATGTCCATTCCTTCATAGAATAATAACTTGGTATACATATATGTGCTTTATACAATATTACTTTAGTGAACATCAGTTCATTGAGGTCAAACCCCTGAAGGAGGGAATTCAGTTCTCTAACAGATATGGACAAAAACATTTGCTTGCTAAACTATCCATTCAAATTCTCAAGAAAGCTTTCATTAGCGACTCTGGTTGGAAAACTGGCATGTGAAAGCACACTTTTACCTTTACAGTTGTTCTCATCCCAGGGAAACACACAATTTTGAACACCATTACAAACCAGAGTGTTGTTGATGCACATGTTGCTGTGACAGAAGAATGTGTTGGCCAAACATCGAGCTGCAAAACAGAGTTTTTCAATGAGATGAAAGCCATATAGATGCAATACTAATAATGTCCACATGATGGACCTCTCACACAACATGTTTGAAATCTAGTACCGCTGGTCAGTCTATTTGTGTTTGCCATGCAAAACCACAGTACAGTTCTGACACATTTTGGTTAGATAAAGATGTTTTTGCATGTTATAATTTTTTATATATACAGTATATTTATAATGTATTCCTAGACAAAGGATTGAAGCTAAAGGAAAATTTCATCCAAAAACTTCAAACATGCAGAATGGAAAATTAAATGTGAGCTTTTTTAAGATCTCCTTTTGCATTCAATGGACAAATAACAGCATATGGGTTTGGAACAACATGAGGATGAGTGAGAAATGACAGAATTTCCATTTCTGGGTTAGCTATTACTTGAATAAAATTGCAGAATGTAAAAAGGTAGATGAGCGCTTACGTTCAGCAAAGACCGTGAAGAGCATACGGAAGCGGCTCAGTTTGCTGGTCTCGTCTGCCCACATTCTGACCACACCCACAGCGTTGTCAAGCGTGATGTCGTTGGCAACGGTGCTGCAGAACTTGGCCTTTAGATCTTCAATGGCATTACTGCCTTCATAGATTGCAACAAAGTTCTTCTTACACTCATTTGAGTTCTCCAACTGATATTCCAGAAAGCGGAGATAGATCTGTGTGTGTGAATAATGGTATATATATAAAGTTTTATTCTGTGGCTCTCTGAAAAACGGTCTGATTCTGATTGGTCATTCACAGCATTCTGATGAAAAAAATATTTTTATATTAAGCTGCTAAACTGCATAATTGCTCATTTTTGCAGGCCACCTATTTCCTGCATATCTGTGCTAGTTTGATGTCTCTACAGTCACTTTCCTCTTACATAACAAAATAATTTCAGCATTTAATGTTAATTTATTTAGGTATTTTTTTTATTATTTATTATAATTTATTTAAATGTGTATATATCATTTTTATTACAGTTTATCTACAGCTTATTTGTATTTATGTTTATTATTTTTAATTATGTTACATTTTTTTAGATGCATGTACTGTATATGCATATTATTTCTTTTAGTTAATTATCTTATTTTTATTTGATTTGTTTTCAGCTGAATTAAGTTTAAAGTTCAAGTAAATCCACTGTTAAAAAGACAAGTTCTTTAAAAAAAATTTCAATAAATGCATGATTGTCCAAAGTCAGTAAGTAATTGTGGTAGATAATTGAGATCTCAATATTGACCAAAATAATCATTATTATGTTTCTTGCCAAAACTAAGCAGCTCTACCTGACAGCATGGATAATAATGGGAAAAAGCCATTAATTAAAATTAATAATTATTAAAACTAATAATTAAGAATAATTAAAATGTACTCAATTTAAATATTCAATGCAAAAGCAAGTCATATTGTGCATGTTCATTGAGCACATTGAAGGAGTTTATTTTATTATATGATATTTTATGATAAATAAAATATCTGACTATATATTATCCTGTATCTTACACAACTTCATTCTAAGACTTGACGTCAGTGACTGTTCAAATCTATGTGAGAGGAACGGATGTTTCATCAGGGCTGCATTACTAACCTTAGACATCGGTGGAGCTCGTATGGTCCAAATACAATCCAGTGCTTCCCCTGATTTCACCTTATTTTCCTCCTCAACTTGACTAGATCTGATTATACCATCTGATCCAGACATTTCAAACTGGCAGTCTGACGGGAGGAGACAACAGAATAGACAAAGACAATTAAATTAACATCATAGCATTCAAATATTACAGCATATCTTTCAACTACTTGAGAAAGAGGCCCGAGAGTCTGCAGACAGCAGCTGGGAAAAGTAATACTAATAAATTCTAGGACACTGAAATATTCAGGAGTTTACATAACTGATGCACTAAAGATGGAATTTACATTTATATTTGCTGGGTGCAGTAACCATAGCAACTGAAAAAGAGGGTGAATGAAGTGCCATTCCGATAGGTAGTGAAACATTTAAAAAAAAATCAAATCTCAAGTACTTTAACGGCTTTCTTAAGAAAAAGCCTTTTTTCTGCAGGACGTGCCACATCAGGTTTAGAAATCTAAAACAAATTTGCCATAGACCAGTATAAAATTTCAATATATTTTTTTCAGAAGTGAAAACAACCTACTAACAGTTTACTACTAACGGCACAAACGTTTTGAATAAATTTGCACAATTTCCAACCATAAAATGTATGATTCTTTAAAAATACTATTTACGTAAGTAGTCAGTGCAGAAGCTTTTATTCAAAGCTATAAGTAGACATATTACTGCAACAAACACCCTGGAATAACCACCACCCTCCCCATACTACATACATAAGTGTTTTCTGTTTACCTGGAATGGGATTCAAGAGTCCCCCAATATGGAGATGAAAGTCAGGATCTGGACGCAAGAGAGGTTTTTGAATTTAAAAAAATCATGTGTATATGTTACAAATCCTGTCCATGGACTTCCATCCGATCGCCACCAGAGGTCACTCGTCCATCATATTGACTCTCTCACTACACAGACTGTTGTTACATGTCACCACAGACTACATTTCCCATCATCAATTGCACTGATTGTACACAGCTGTAACCAATCACACACACACTATATGACACTCACTCAGATCTTTTGCAGGCCCTGTCCATACAAAACCGCAGCTTTTTCTACGCGGTTAGGCTGTTCATCCACACGCAAACGCAGCACCAGTTCACTGAAACCAAACATTTTTGAAAACGCCTGCCAGAGTGAAGATTTTCAAAAACTCCGGTTGCAGTGTTGTCGTGTAGACAGCGAAACTGGAGTTTTTGGCTTGTGACGTCGGCGCCTGCGCTGTTATCTCCGCCTACTGGAGACTTTTTCAGGCTTCTGATTGGCCAACATGGCTTTACGGTTGAGATTATACCGCCACCTGTTGGTTTGGCATGCTCTTGACAGTAATTCATAGCATGCATTTGCGTTTTCATGTGGATGGAGATTTTTTTTTAAACGGAAGGAGGAAAAACTCCTTTATAAAAATACCCATGTACGTGTGGACATGGCCTTAAACTGCCAAGTATTGTTTGCATTTATCTCCGGTTAGCCGATAGCACATTACGGAGCCATTCCTTGTTTGCCCTAGTTCATAGTTTAATCTTGTTCTTTGCCTGGATTACCCGTGTCTTGATTATTGCCTGTTTTCCTCGTCTTGTCTGCCCTGGACTCTATTGCCTGCCGTGGATTACCTCTCTCGTCTCGCCCTTGTTTGGATACTGTTTGCTCCTCGTCTGAACTATTGCTTGTTTATTTGGATACCCCCTTGCCTTGCTTACTGGATTATGTTGACCTTGTCTGTCCCTGGAATACTCTTGGTCTTGCCTGAAATGTACCTGTTTGACACTGTTTGACCCATGCCTGTTATGACCACGTCTTGGAATAAAAGCATGCAGATGGATCCGCACGTCTCTCGTCTCGTTCGCCCCGTAACAGTATAAAAATAATACAAAGGGAACTGAGAAAAAGAGCATCAGAGTAAAAGATTCTAAGATCTAAATGCATGAAGAACTGCAACATGTATTTACCTGCAGTATATGAATACTCCACCCTGAAGCCCAGTCCCTCCAGCTCCTCATCACTGATAAACCTGATCCACATGAAGCGTCCGGAGGAGGTGACAATTCCTGGACTCTTTGCCCCACAGTACCGATTAATCAACGGAGAGAAAACAAACGGCCCATCACGGATTTCAATGTTATCAAAGCGGCACTCAAAGGACGGCTCGATGTAGTAGATGTCACCGAAGACAAGTTGTATTCTCTTCCGTGGATGGGCTGATGTAGACAAGAAACAGAGGTTACGACATGAATAACTGTTGTGACTGAGAAGTATACACTACTGTTCAAAAGTTTGGGGTTGGTAAAATTTTTCAAGTAGGGATAACTGCAGGCTGGAGCAGTGGGCGTGATGAAAGATTAGGGCATGCCAAAAGGTAGGGGGTGTGGATAAAGGTCTTTCTAATTGGTTAGGGTTAGTGTTAGGGGTTAGTTTCTGTGGTAGCATTCAGCTTTCAGCACACCACCTTTTGCCACGCACATTACTTTTTTGTTTTTGAAAGAAAAGTCTCTTATGTTCACCAAGGCTACATTTATTTGATCAAAAATACAGTAAAAACAGCAATATTATTAAATATTATTAAGATGTAAAATAATTGTTTTCCATTTGAATATATTTTAAACTTTGATTTATTCCTGTGATGCAAAGCTGAATTTTCAGCATCATTACTCCAGTCTTCAGCGTCACATGATCCATCAGAAATCATTCTAATATGCTGATTTGATGCTCAAAGAAACATTTCTTATTATTATCAATGTTGAACACAATTGTGCTGCTTAATATTTTTAAATGATACATTTTTTAGTCACACTTCTCCAATTCTCGCTATTAACACACTACTAACTATGACTTTTGCCTCAAACTCCTAATTTGCTGCTTATTAATAGTAAGTAAGGTAGTAGTTATGTTTAGGTATTGGGTAGGATTAGGGATGTAAAATATGGTAATGCAGAATATGTGCTTCATAACTACTAATAAACAGCCAATATGTTAATAATATACAAGCTAATAAGCAACTAGTTAATAGTGAGAATTGGTCCCTATACTAAAGTGTTACCCATTTTTTCCAGGATTCTTTGATGAATAGAAAGTTCAGATGAACAGCATTTACTCTAAACAGAAATCTTTTGTAACGTTATAAATGACATTTATAAATTGAATGCATACAAACTTAAAAGGGATAGTTCACCCAAAAATGAAATTTTTTTGCTTACCCCCAGGGCATCCAAGATGTAGGTGACTTTGTTTCTTCAGTAGAACACAAACGAAGATTTTTAACTCAAACCGTAGCAGTCTGTCAGTCATATAATGGCAGTCTATGGGCTCCATGGCTTTGAGAGTCAAAAAATCATACAGACAAAACCAAATTAAACCCTGCGGCTCGTGACGATACAGTGAGGTCTTAAGACATGAAACGATCGGTCTGTGCAAGAAACTGAACAGTATTTATATAATTTTTTACCTCTGATCCACCTCAATGTCCAGCTGTCCTGAGCGTGTGGACATTGCGGTGGATCAGAGGTAAAAAATTATATAAATACTGTTCAGTTTCTTGCACAGACCGATCACAGACCCATTGACTGCCATTATATGACTGACAGACTGCAACAGTTTGAGTTAAAAATCTTCGTTTGTGTTCTACTGAAGAAACAAAGTCACCTACATCTTGGATGCCCTGGGGGTAAGCAGATAAACATCAAAAACTATCCCTTTAACGCATCCTTTCTGAATAAAAGTATTAATTCAGCAAGACTCCAAATATTTTTTTGCAATGCATGTTTTAGCAAAGCAACAAATAGGATAAGTGTCTGTGGAAGCTTGTGGAAGTGAGCTTGTGGACTCATACCCTCCAGTATGTACACGCACTCCTTGTTTGGCGGGTAAGTGTTGGGGTAGTTTGGTGAACTGAATGATCCTCCATTTGCCGTCTGGATCAAAGTTCCACAGTGAGCGGGTTTCTTATCCTCAACAGCCACATTCTGAGGCAAAGCTAACAGGACACACACACATACGATGATCTACATGAAAGGTAATGGTTATTAAAGCAAAACAGATGTTCATTTCAATTTCTTTTTTGGTTTCAATCTTTCCCACTTCAAACCAACCTTGAGTTTTCTGAGCCAATGCAAAACCCTCCTCTATCAGGATAAGCAGAACCAAGGCTGCAAGAAAACAAAAATGGGGCATGTTTACAAAGTTTTGGACGTCTTGGAAGTCTCGGAGTGGTCTTGGACTTCCAGTGAACTTTTCTTAACAAAATACACACTATGAAGAAATCAAATACAACTCCGATAGCAGACGTGTCGAAAAAGTACACACAAAAAAAAGTTTTTTTTTTTACATATACATTACCATTCAAAAGTTTGGGTTGATAAGAAGTTTTTAAAGGGGTCATATGATGTTGCTAAAAAGAACATTATTTTGTGTATTTGGTGTAATGAAATGTGTTTATGCGGTTTAAGGTTCAAAAAACACCTTATTTTCCACATACTGTACATTATTGTTTCTCCTCTATGCCCCGCCTTTCTGAAATGCGTTGATTTTTACAAAGTTAGTAGTTTCGCTTTCACAACGAAACACACAGCGCTTTCACGACATGGCCGCGGCGGCAACAACAGTACTAGAATAAAAGTTACGCCTTCTTTTTTTACACATTCTTTTTTTGGGAGGCGTTATGCAAATCTTCCCACATCGTGACGTAGATATGTGGGGGCGTGTTAGAACGAGCCATTTTAGGTAGGCGTGGATTTGAGACTTTAGTCTTTGCAACTTTACAGATCTTCTTTATGCACCAAGAGCTTGTAACACTCCAAAGAGAAAGGAAAAATTTAAATCGCATCATATGACCCCTTTAATGTTTTGAAAAAGTCTCTTATGTTTACAAGCCTGTAATTATTTGATCAATAATGATGTAAAAAAATTAATATTGTGAAATATTAATAGTTTAAAATAACTGTTTTCTATTTTAATATATGCAAATGTAAACTGGACAGTTTGCAAAATGCAACCAAAGTCTTCATTGTTTTCATAATATGAACATCATAATTACATTCAATCACCTCACTAATTTTACATTTAGCTTGTGCTTATTCCTCTGACACTACATTGTTTAACTTCACACCTGCTTTTACTGCTACTTGTCTGCCCTTGAAAACAAGACACAGGCCTGTTCAGTGGGATGCGGATGTTCAGGTCATGCTCTTCAAGTGTATAATAAATTTTAACAAGCTCCCCAACTCCTGATATACATCCACACATACAGAGTTGACAATTTTATTAAAAAAGAAAATGACACCAGCCTAAGTAAGATATGAACCCAGAACATTTTGCAATCAGAACTCAAGCTCAACGTTGAGCTCACTTCATTGATGATGCAACAACACAGGTTTTTAAAATATACTGCAGCACGTGTTGGCCAGGGTTGTGTTTAAGGTTGATGCATGTGACTTTCATGACGTGAGGGATTGAGAGATAGCTTATCAAACTCTGATATCAAACTGATTTCTGTCATTTCAAATAGGATAGGAGTGAGACAAATAAACTAAAGCCACAAAACAGAACTCTAAAACTTGCTCATGCTTGTGATGTTGTTTCTCACCAAAATAATAGAGTAATTTGTAGATTTCCTAAATGGGAATGACCCAACTTACTGCATCAGCCTCTTCTTTTTTTTTTACAGATAACTGTAGTGAAAGACTAATAGCTTGATGAATGATGTCATGAATACAGCTGTAGGAGATGTGGTTTGATTGAGGGTTTGTTGAGGAGCTGTCTGTTCAGCACCACATGTGCAATCTGCCCTATTTTCACTGAACAACATACAGACTGTGGTCAAAGCAGACATTCAACCTGGTTTGATATAACTCTACTAAAGGCATTCTGGGCTGGCTGACCAAACAACAGAGTAAAAAGCCAAGAAATAATTCTGTTTTGAACTCTAAATCATGTTGGATGAATGAAAAACTAAATTCAGACAAAATTCCATTAAAAAAATACTATGGTATTATTACCATGGTTCCACTGAAATACCATGTAAATATGCACTGTAAAATGTCAACTCATTACAACTGAAATCTTAATTTTAATTGCTGCATTCATTTTTAAAAGGCACCAACTGCAGTGAAGTTCGCTTTTCATTTTTCCCCCACAAATTTGAATTTGATTAATAATGAATTAAAAAGTTTTTGAAACTGAAAACATATACAACTGATAATAATTGACAAATGATTGTGGCAAGTTTGTGGGGTGAATATCATTGCTGTTATCTGATACCATCACTGTACCAGGGTAAACCACAGTACTTTACTGTAATGTACAAGACGTTCTCAAAACATGTTTGACATTTGCGCAAATAAGTTGGTATCATATTTACAAAGACACAAGTAGCATTCATTAACAATGAAGCAACATCGTTAATTAAAACATGAACTCACCCTCATGCACTTCCACTTTCACTGAACACTTTTGCTCTTGTGAGATTGTTTATCTACATTTTCAACGACGACATAAAGTTAGACCGTCGCAATACGGCTCTGCAACAGATTTCACGAATAAAGAAGCATCTCCTTCCTGCAATCAATTCGAAAAAATCCATTTGAAAGCTGTAAAAAAGCACCAAATTAAACTGGATACGCCGAGACGTTTGCAGAAACTCCTGAGCACCGCGCTTCTGAAAAGTCAGTTCACATTATGACATTGAGGAAGGAGAAGGCTTGCCTCATGAATATTAATTAATTCCATGACCCAAGCACAGTATGTGCAACTGATTGGCTGATAGGCGCTAAATCTGCACCATTCAACTGCTGATTAACAAATATTCATGAATATTAATTACATCATAATACTTTTGAAGCTGCATCTGAAGCCACACATATAGTACGAAAATGTGCATTTACACAGGCAAAAAAAATTGTCGTAAATTGTAAAGCTTCAATGATAAATAAATTAAAAAATATATATATATATATATGTGTGTGTGTGTGTGTGTGTGTGTGTGTGTGTGTGTGTGAAATAATTAATGAAATATGAAATTACACATAAAGATATGAAACTGTAAATTAGAAATTAAATATATACAGCAGCATCCGAACTGCTTTAAGGGCTGAGGTAAGTCAACGCTGCCATATTTTAGTACTACTAATGTTTTGGTGCACTGCATTGGTTATGTTAGATTAGAAGGCATCTAAAATGTAGCTACAGTACTCCAGCCAGGACCAGGATTGGGAACCACAGCTCTAGGAAGATTACAAAGAAGCATCCACATGACCTAAGTAATATTCACAAGCCAAGTCTTGATAGTAGGATTCGTAATATTGCGGATGGGGTCCGCACAGCTGTTGGAAACAAGGGATTTGAGACTTAACACTGGTCTCTCTGAGGGGTCTGTTCCACCCATGAAAGCCTTATAAGCAATATGGGGACTGAACTGATGAGGCATGTCATAGAAGCTGATTACATGGTCGCTGTAAGGAGGGTTATGAATTCTAATAATATCTTTGTCAATAGGTTTGTCACACACTATGGCTTTAATAAAATTTAAACTTGGCAAGCATCACTACTATTATTGCTCATAAACCCTTGACCTTTCTATTAAACTTTGTAAGTTATCCCACAGTGTTTGTGGAACAAACATGAATGATGCCTCAAATCATGTGGCTCTAAGAGATCAGATTTATGATCATTTCCCATAATGTTATAGAGGCTTAGAGGTGGGGATAATCTTGGATCCATCTGAACTGGCAAATGTTTACAATCATTTCCTTTGATTGTATTTTGAAAGATGCATTATCATTTTCATCCTATGCATGTTAAACCCCTATTTAAGTCGGCACCATTCAACTATTGATTAATAATACTTGTGAATATTAAATATGTCATGTGACTGTTACATCACGTTGTGTAGCAGAAGTGAGTCAGCACAGAAACTGCATCTAAAACTACACATGACAATATGCATTTATACAGGTTTTTTAATGAAACTGATGCATTTAAAGCTGCAGAAATAATATTAAAACTTGACCCTCAGTATTAAAGGAATAGTTCACCCAAAAATGAAAATTTGCTGAACATTTACTCACCCTCAGGCCATCCAAGATGTAGATGAGTTTGTTTCTTCATCAGAACAGATTTGGAGAGATTTAGCACTACATCACTTGCTCACCAATGGATCCTCTGCAGTGAATGGGTGCCGTCAGAATGAGAGTCCAAACAGCTGATAAAAACATCACAGTAATCCAAAAGTAATCCACAGCCACACATCTCCAGTCCACCAATTAATGTCTCTCATTGTTTGTGGTACAAACATGAATGATGCCACAAATCATGGGGCTCTAAGCGATCAGATTTATGATTTTTGCCCATATTAGAGGCTTGGATGTGGGGATAATTCTGCATCCATCTAAACTAGCAAATCTATTTCCCATAATTGTATGATGAATGCTACTGATGCATTATAATTTTTATCCTGTATGTTGAGCGATATTCATTTAACAGGCCAGCTTTTTTTAACCTTAGGCTACAAGTTTCAAAAGTAAACTTTGGCACTGTAAAAATGGAAGAAGAAAAAATTAATCAAAGCCTCTAGAATTAAGCTCCAAACCAGTTAAAATATATGCACTGCTTAAATGATCACAGAACAATTACTTTTCATTCATGGCCCAACAAGACCATGCCTGCTGACAACTAACATAAAAAAGCTTTCCTAAATAACTTAAGCTGCCAGTGAAGTATGATGGCACTTATTTGCAATTCAAATTAAGCTGAAACTCCCTTTCATCTCTGACAGAGAAGATGAGATTCTCACCTGAGAATAGAGATTCTGCCACATTCATTTACAATGGCCTAGATAAGGCAATGAAGCCACTCTTACTGTGCTGAAGTCAACATATAACCACTGAGATATAGGATCCACATTTGGTCAGTGCGCATCTAGTTTAAAGGTATGTTTTATTTATTACTGTAGAGTGGTATAACCACTTTTTTCATTGATATATAGTGTTTTGGAAATGGATCACATTATGGATGTAAAATGGGTTGTGACCATCACATTGACACTTTGCACATATCTGGTATATTTAGCTTTTTTAAAAGAACAAAAATTTACATTTAATAATTGCACGACTACTGTTTAAATGTGACAAGTCTTTCACTCTTTAAAGGAATAGTTCAACTAAAAATGTTCTTCATCAGAACAAATTTAGCATTAAATCACTTGTTCACCAATGGATCCTCTGCAGTGAATGGGTGCCATCAGTCCAAACAGCTGATAAAAACATCACAATAATCCATAAGTAATTCACACAACTCCAGTATATCAATTGGCTTCAATTAACTCATCTACAATTTGGATGGCCTGAAAGTCAATACATTTTAGCAAAATTCATTTTTGGGTGCACTATTCCGTAGTGTGCAATGAGGTAATTCCCATGTGATGTTATACAAAAAAACTTATAATGTAATATAATCTGAGGCTGCAATTAAACATTTATATTAAATCACATTTATTTGGGATAACACTCAAAAAGAGCATCAGTTTTGGCATGGTATTTTTTTGCAGCATGACTTCTGTGTATTTGTCTGCATGCAATTGCAGATCTAAGTCAGTCTTGCTGTTGTGTCTGGTTGAGTGTTTAAGGATTAAGAAAAGAGTGAAATCATTTTGTTAATCTGGTGCGTTGTAGAGAGAGAGAGGGGGAGAATTTGCTAGTCGATTTCCTGTCAGCAAACTTAATTTCAAGGAAGAAGAAACAAGGAATGTACAGTACTGTTATGTATGAGTAAAACAATGTGACCTGCCAGTGAACCCAGACATGTCAATTGTTTTACTTAATTATATTTATATAAATAAACATGACTATTATTAATATTTAAACAAATTAAAAATAGAAATGTTATTTTAAATAATTGTACATATTGATTTTTTTTATTAAAAGAACACTTATGTTTGTGTTGAAATCTATACAGTATGGATGTGCTAAGCCAACTGGATTTTGAGAGTGGAAAAAAGACAATAAAAGACAAGTAAACTTAACACAAATACTTATGACAGCCATATGGCCATGCACACACACACACACACACACACACACACACTCAGTGTATTAAATCTTTCACATTCTCTGAGTAGCTGTTTAGCAGAGCAGCCAAAGGTTTTGCATCCTTCAGATTCAGCGAAACTTTCTCATCCTATCATCTTTCTCTCTAATACCACACAATCAATATGTAGTTACGTTAATGCACAATCACAATATCCTCTTATCAGAATCAGTAACAGTACATGCTTCAAATATGATGCTTAACATCACCAGATATTTTAAATGCATATATTTCAAACCTACAGCACAGAACACATGGTACACGTGTATGTGAATTTGAAGGGTTAAGTCCAGGAAACACTCTGGATTAGACTTTACCGTGTGACAGAGCACACAATCAGACTGATTCCAATGACATCGAAGATACAAGCGATTTTCTTCAAATATTTCTATGCATGTGTGACGTTGACTTTGGTAATGCTCTCAGGAGGAGTGGTCTAGTTTAGCAATATTGAAAATGGCAGTAGTGCAGATGATCTGTATATGTATCTATAGCACTAAACATTACACTGAAAGAAAGAAATGAAGGCAGCTGGCCTCTCTCTGTGAGAACATGAGGGGGGAGATGGAGAGAATCTTTCTGACTGAAGTCCTGATGTCAAGTGACTTCAGTAAATCTCTCAACATCCCTCAGACTAAAAATAACCTCAAAATACATTAAAGCCACCAGCAACCCACTCACACCAAAGAGGTCAGAAACACATACTGATCTTCACTGGATTCACATCAAGTTAGAAATCAGAAGCTGTTTGTATAAAGTATTAATATAGGTAACTTTTCTTGAAAATTAAAATCCCAAAAACTTTTAAGTCATATCCTTATTTACAGCGGACCACATCTGTTAGATGTTTGCGCTTATAATCTCGAGATGTCTGAAACTTGACCTTGGTGGAAACACAATGATTTGTGTAGAAATCTTGATGTCAACTCTTAGTCTGTTTATAAAATCGCACGAGTTACATCATCAGACACGTCTATGGCTATACATGTGATCAAAGCCACAATGAATAAAACCCAAGGCATTATTATTACACATGCTCTGAATGACAATGAAACTCATGCCTGGCCAGACTGGTTGGTACATGACAGCATCCGCTGTATCAAAAAGTTTAGATTTTTTAGTTTTTTTTTTTGCTTTACTACACAATACCAGAAACATAAATGCATACTGTGTGTTAATCTGTTTTTTTTTTTTTTAGAAGGAAATCTATTTGTATGTTATTTATAAGGAAATGTAGAATCTAAGTGGTGAGAGGACAATTTCAGAAGAGCCAATCCAATCAGAGCTGGAAAACACAAACACACTAGTATTCCAACTGTGATACTGTCTTTCCTCCGAAACATATGTTTCTAATCATCCCTGGGTATTTACTTTCTGTGCAA